TGCCCAGCCAGGAAAGGGCCACGGGAGGGCTCCAGGGCATGTCCGGCCTGTCTCGCTCAGTCCTGATCGGCCAGACCCCAGCAGCAAGCTAACCCACTGGTCGGAGCGTCTGTCCTCTGGTGGTCAGTGCATGTCATAGCAAGCAGTTGAGTGGCTTTAGCATATCATTAGCATATTACGCTTTGACTGGTTGAATGCCTGATTGGACGACCAGACCCTTAGCATATTAGGCTTTTATTATATAGGACATTTTTATTAATTTCAGAGAGCAAGGGAGAGAGACAGAAACATCAATGACGAGAGAGAATCATCGATCAGCTGCCTCCTGCACACCCCACACTGGGGATTGAGCCCGCAACACTTAACCATGGAGTATCAACCTATAAAAAAAAAAAACTAAAAAATTTTTTTAAATGTATTTGTAGGTATACTTAAAATTAAGTTTCATTATTTTCACATTGAGTCAACCCACTGCGCTTTTAAGGATAGAGCTTATTAGACCAAGTACCTTTAACATGCTTTGGATGGTAGTAACACTGTATTATGACTATGTCATAGTTACATTAGAATTCCTTGGTTGACAAAGCAAGTCTGCTCAGGGGCCTGAGCAGTGGGTGGCAAGGGGCAGCAGTTGCAGGGGCAGGTGAATGGCAGGCTTGACCGAGGAGATGACTACAGTTTCAGTCCAGGACCAGCCACAAAAAGGAAAGAATTTTAGAGGCAGCTAATTAAGCAAAGTGAAATCATTTCTATTAGTCCTTAGTTCTTCTGTGTTATCTGGTGGCTCATGCAAAAAACAAAGGACTAGAAAAGGCCAAATCAACATTGCTGACACCTGCTGAGCGGGGTAGTCACCATTGTGAACAGCCCGGACAGAGCCAGAGGACAGGAATCACGGGAGACTGGCTACAACAAGGGAGGTAGCAGCCACACTCTTCGCTTCACTAAAACATAGCATTTGAGAGTTGGAGGTGGATACAGGTATTATTTACTAATTTGTCCTATTACTAATTTTACTTATTTACTAATCAACAAGAAAAGACTACTGAAATAGTAGTCTTAAAAACTGTCATAGTGAAAAACAAAAGACACACATAGATAGGGGTTCACAGAAGAGAAAGAAATGTCAAAATGACTCCGAGGGTTTGGGGCCTGGGCAGGCAGATGAATGGAGAAAGCAATGTAGGTAGGAAAACAACAACAAAAAACAAACAAACAAACAAACAAAACAAAAAAACTGTCATAGTGATTTTTAAACATCAATGGGAAAAAGAGATGAAAATTATTCAATAAGTAGTATCAGGAAAAGTAGGGTAGGAAGCTGGAAAAAAGTAAACCTGAGTTGCTACTTCCTTCCTTGCACCAGAATAAAACCATAAAATAAATACAAGGGAATAAAACTGTTAAAATCTCAGAGTAGGTAAGATCTTTGGAAGTTATGAAAACCCAGAAGTCATAAAACATAAGACTAATAGATCTGACCATGAAATACTTAAAATTTGCACACGATAAATTACATAAAAAGAAAAAACAATGTGATAGAAAATGACTAATTTCATTAATATAGAAAGAGTTCTTGCAAATCAGGAGGGTAAAGACCAAAATGCACTAGGAAATGGGCAAACATAAAGAGAATTCACAGGAAAAAATACCAATGGTCTTAAAATATACAGTAAAATGCTAACCTTTACCCAAAGAAAAAACACAAATTAAAAACTAGAGGATATAGATTGTCAAAGACCAAAAGATCAGTCAGGGAAATAAGAGCAGTCATGCTGCTATAGTATTAAATTGGTCAAATCTATTTGGGGGGCAGTTCAGCATCTACTCCCCATATGTATATACTCGTTGATCTAGCAATTCAACCTCTTCAGGAGTATATTCAATAGACGTACACAGTCACAAACATGTAGTGTAGAAATGGACATTTCATGGCAGACGGTTCACAGTGGCAAACGACTGGAAACAGCCACACTCACCAGAATCAATTGTCTGAAATCACCGTGGTACTCCACAATGGAACACTATTGCAGCTGTAAGAGGAAATGGAGCAAATCTAACTCTACTTATATGGACAACCTACTAGTCACCATTTTAAAGAAAAATCACAGGTGTCAAGTCATACATATATTTATGGAAGAAAACAGGGTAAGGTGGATGATATACTCATATACATCAGACCAGCAGCAGCACCTGGAAACTTATAGAAATACAAATTATTGGGCCCCACTCAGACCTACTAACTTGAGTGTCTGGGGGAAAGAGTCCAGCAATCTGTGTTTTAATAGCCTTCCAGGTAATACTGATGCATGCTCAAGTTTGAGAACCATAGTGCTACAGGATCTTTAAAGATACCCAGAAAACTGGAAACAGGTGTTACCTCTGGGAGAATAAATAGGAGAGGGGCAGGAGAGAGACTCCTCACTTTGGTGTTTGGATTCCCCCCCCATGCCTATGTGTCACCTATCTATATATATAAAAGGCTGACTGACTGTACGCACGTCTGACCGCCCAACCACCTAGTACATACACTGGCAATTTAAAAATAAACGTTGACTCGCACATGCAAGATACATATAAAGCTCTTGCTGGCACCAATTGCTTGTGTGTGTTTTGATCTGTCATTGTCGATTGTGAATTTGGTTGTTTTTGTTGACATTCTGAAGCTGAAAGAAAGCAGCATCATCAACAGAATATGTCTGAAGACCAACTATTGGCATGATATACCCATGAAGCAAAAAGAAGCTGGCGTCGTCGACAGAATGTATTAAGTGTTTTTACTTTTTTTTTTTTTTAATATTTTATTGACATTTTACAGAGAGGGAGAGGGATAGAGTTAGAAACATCAATGAGAGAGAAACATCGATCAGCTGCCTCCTGCACACCCCCTACTGGGGCTATGCCCTTGACCGGAATCGAACCTGGGACCTTTCAATCCGCAGGCCGACGCTCTATCCACTGAGCCAAACCGGTTAGGGCGAGTGTTTTTACTCTTAATGTGGTATTCAGGGAGATATTAGAATAAGTTTAATCAATTTATCAGTCATTGTTTTTATCAATGTTTTTATATGTTTTTGTTGTTTTTATGTCACGTCTATGTTTTTATTATTTATTAAATCAATTTATATATTATTTTCATATACATTTTACTAATTTTTTTCATCTCTGACACTTCTATTATAGAGAAAAGGAAAATAGCAATATTAAAATATTTCTTCTAATCAATTTCCCTTCAAAGTGCACGAATCCACATTGAATTCGTGCCATTAGTTTTAAATAAAAATTTTAACAGTCAAAACCTGCAAATTTGGTCCAAAATGGGTAAGAAATGAGCTCAGTGTTTCTGAAAAACTGAATTAGGAGTTTTGACTTACAGCACGATTCTTAAAACAACCTATTTTAGACCAAGATTTCAATGCTGAAGATAAAGCATATCTATAAATGACCACATATGGTTTGGCATAGCAGATTCTAAGTCTGATGATAATGAAGTTATTTATTGAGTTGAAGTTTTAAAAAAGAGGAAAAGCTTTTTAGACGTTTTATTAGAATGAGGCAAATTACCCTTATTGTAGAGAGTAACAATAAAAAAAAACCACACAGAAAAAAGGCAAAGACAAAGAGAAAATTTGAACTTTTTTTTAAAAAAAGCACAAAATCCTACATACTAAAATTGTACACATCAAGTATTGGTCCAATCTTATGTCAATCTATTTACAATTAAACAGCACCATAGTTTTCTCACCTAGGTTAGTTAAACATGCCCAGTATTTGTTATTCAAAGTATATGTTCCTTTAAAATAAACTCTTGAGAGCTTAAATCTTCAACAAACAAAAAAGACCTTCCACCAACCATAGATTATTAATGATATCACCAGATTTACTTAAGAAAAATAGGTTTGAACACTTTTTTCCCAATTGACAAACTTTGAGAGATGTTGCTAATTCAATGTGGCACACAAATGAATGAAAACTATTTAATGATGGGGCATTCACATACCTCCAACTCCATATATAAAGACTCCTTTGGAATTAATGCTGCTGTATCCTGTTGGATTTAGATTCAATTATCAGCAAACTCAAATTAAATGTAGCCACAATCATTCAAATAATTTCATTAAAAAGGGAAGTAGTTAAAGCTCTCAGAAACACGTGTTACAATGATAAATATTATACTAGAGGCCCGGTGTACAAATTCGTGCACCAGTGGGGTCCCTCGGCCTGGCCTGCAGGATTGCACCGAAACCAGCTCTCCAACATCCCAAGGGGCCCCAGATTGTGAGGGTGCAGGCCAGGTCGAGGGACCCCACGGGTACATGATTTGGGCTGGGGAGGGACCGCAGGAGGGCTTCAGGGCATGTCCAGCCTGTCTCATTCAGTCCCTATCGGCTGGACCCCAGCAGCAAGCTAACCTACTAGTTGGAGCATCTGCCCCCTGGGGGTCAGTGCACATCAGTGACTGGTTGACTGTCTGCCTCCTGGTGGTCAATGCATGTCATAGCGAGTGGTTGAGCGGCCTTAGCATATCATCATTAGCATATTACGCTTTGATTGGTTGAATGGCCAACAGGTCAACTGGATGCTTAGCATATTAGGCTTTTATTATACAGGATCTAGCAGGCTATAGGAAGTTTAATACCATTTTGAACATTACCTTTAGACTAATTAGCAGCTTCATTTTGCCACTGAAATTAGTAATAGTGCTTCACATCCAAATAGGTGTGGAGGTTTGATTATTTCCCTGCTGCAAACAGCATAAGTACCTTCTTCCTCTAATTTTCCATCTCATGGATTCTCAGGGGTACAGTGATCATGTGGTAGCCCCTTCTCTCACTAATGGAACCAACCTTGAAAAGGCTCCAAGTTAAATATAATCCTTGGCAGCTTTACTCAGTCACAGTACAAAAGAATCAGGTTATCTCTCTGGATTTTCCAGTCCTCTACAGTCAAATCTGGGGATGGTTCTTAATCTGCCTCTTTACTAGGCAAGAGGAGAGAGGAAAACGGTCATCCAGCATAACTAAGGTAGCAGTGAACAGGAAAGCACTCAAGTATAAAGCAATGTTTCATCATTTGGTCTCACTGCTGATGTTAAAGTGACATCAGTAAACCTTTCATATTAGTAATTTATGAGTCGAAATTTTCTCTAAATGACTGAAAATAGGCACAATTCTTCTAGGCACAGATGGAATGGGTTTCCTTACACCCTTCCTGCAAATTGGAGGAGAAAGAGAATGACTTTATTATCGTACAGTGGAAATAGCTGTACTTGATTCCCTGCATTCCCTGGCCCAGTATCCATGTATTTGGGAGCACAGTTCTGAAAAGTTCCAAGCAGAGTGGAGAGAACAATTTAAGGTATTAAATAGTAGTAACCTTCTAAGCCTGGATATGAAAACCACTTTGTTATACACACTTTTCAAAATACCTATGTAGTAAGAGAAGAGACTTTTCAACTGAGTATCAGTTGAAAATCAGAGATCTGATTGCACTGACTAAATTATTGCCTAGTGTTCCAGAGGACGCCTGCCACCAATGTGCTGGAAGGCATCAAAATTTAGTGTGAATGTAAATAAAAAGCTCAACATATGGGAATGAGGAAAGCAATACTGAGACAAAATTTGCCAATCTCTAATCCTTAATGACTAAATATTAATTAAGCAAAGAATTAAGACCAGAATAGAAGCAAACCTCAAATACTGCTCTTTCCAGTTTCCATGCTAAAAAGCTCAAGTTTTATCATTGTTATTGATGATTTTTGGAAGTTATATTTTATTTTTATAAAAACTCTGTATTCACAAGGTGCTTGGTGCTGTTCATTGATGCGATGTTCTATGTACAGTCCAAATCATTTAAATACAGCCATTACATAGTTGCTGAGTGTTTGAAAATAAATGGTTATCTATTTCTTAACTGCCCCTCAAATTAGAAATTGTAATTACATGAGTCTCAAATGCTAGCTCTTTGTGTTTTATTAATTATTTTTGTTGGTCTCCATCACAGATGGAATTTTTCACTGGTAATTCCTCAGAACTAAATCCATTATACGGAATTCAGAGCAGTGAAAATAAATTTCACGCCATAGAGTAGGAAACAACAATACAAAGGAGTGGGAGGGGTCTGGGAACCAGCCAATAGGACCAGATCAGTTCTCAACTGGTGTTGGGTTTTGCAAAGGTTGGCTCATTATAACCTGTACAACGTAGTCCTTTGGGATCTTCAGCTCTTCTAACTTCATTTTGTCGGTGAGAGGTCTGCCAGAAAAGAACCACCGCTGACTGCTCGGTTCCACTCCCTCTGCTGAGTGGAGCCGCCTCTTCATGTGGTACACTGTGTCTGTGCTGCGGACTACAAGTTTGAGGTCTTTGCCAGTGGAAAGGCGCAAACGGAGCTGACATTCATATCCAGAATTAGGAGGTGGCTCAGGAATATCTAGAGTCTCTATGTCGCTCTTTTCCTCTATCATGTTGATAGGTGGTGCCAGGCAATAGACTGGGAGCTGGTATCTGTTTCCCAGTTCATCGTAGCACTCTGTAAGTGAACCTTCAGGAAGAAGATATGAATAAGAATTTAATCTAAATAAATGTAGTTGTTTTTTTTTAAATATATTTTTTTATTGATTTTTTACAGAGAGGAAGGGAGAGAGATAGAGAGTTAGAAACATTGATGAGAAACATCGATCAGCTGCCTCCCGCACATCTCCCACTGGGGATGTGCCCGCAACCCAGGTACATGCCCTTGACTGGAATCGAACCCGGGACCTTTCAGTCCGCAGCCCGACGCTCTATCCACTGAGCCAAACCGGTTTCGGCTGCAGTTTTTTTTATACCTTGCAAAATGCTCAAGCATCTCCTGCCATGATAGAGAAAAATACTAAAATAATGGCAGTCACTGTCAACTGACCATCAATAATAATGTCCCATCACCAATTTTTTGAATGTTTATCTAATTTTACATTAACCAGGGCTCTAGCTCCTTACCCTCATTTCTTTTAGGTCATTTCATACCTAATTCACACGTTCATTAAAGGATAAAGGAAAAAAGAGCACACAAAATTCAAATTTACTAATATCATTAATGCTTAGGCCAAATTAAGGGAGAGATTCAAATTGCACTGGGATATCTTTTCAAGAAAGAATCAACTACCTTAAAAAAGAAAAAGCAAAAAAAAGGATCTCTAAATCTAATTCACTACAACACAGTAGAATTCTAGAGTGGTTTTCTTATTGCCTAGACTTTCTAAATCCAAGTACCTGGCCAGAGCCCTTATAGTCCACAGAGATCACAAACTCGAGATGCCACTGGCTCATGGCTTATATATGAATCTCATTAGCACAATTACCAAAGAAATAATGGAGGTGTTTTATTAACCCCAATTAGTCAATGTTACAGAGAAGCTACGGGTTAAAAAGAAAGAACAAAATGGGTATTAAGTTTATAACCAGCTGGCGCTCAGAAGAAGGAAAAAAGTATTTATGGTTTAAAAGAAAGTATTAGTGACTAATTTTTTTAATAACACATGAACTGCATTATAATTCCTAGGACTTCTCCTTAGGGGAAGCTTGAAAGCATACTCAATAAATGTTTCATTGTAAGGTTACTCATAATGTGTCCTTTATGCAAACTGAAACATTAATGTTAGCTGATTTTCAATGTGGATAAAAAACATCTACCACACTCAAAACACTTATACACAAGTTAATAAATATGGGGAGTGGCACACTGAGAAATGGTTATCAATGAACAAGTGAGTTAATAAGCCGATCTTTATGGTCACATCAATAGGCTGAAAATACAAAGCATCGGAAATGAGACCTCAACAGTCACCAACCTACCATGGGTTCAACTGGGTCTGTCTTCTAGTTACATAATATGAGCTGAGGTGAGCACTAAGTCACCAAGCATAACATCCATGTTTGCCCCCTTTCCTCTGTTTATCGACATTGTTCAGCCTGTGCTGTTTACTAATGAATCTGAACACGGCTATTACATTGTAGAAATGGATATACTCCAAGCACAGTTGTGATCACCAGCAGTTCCCCACACTAGTAACTAAAGGGTATCCCAAAATTCACGCAAGAAGTAATTTTGATAGAAAACACAGGTTTGTAATTTAAAATTGTAAATTTTTTGATTCATAAAGTATACAGTATAGGGTTATGTATGGAATAGCATATCGGGTAAATGGCCTCCATGGCTTTGCAGGCACATACGCACTCTTTTGTTGAAATTTTCCATGACCGTTTTGCATAAATGTGGCTGAATTTCGATGAGGCTCATTTTCATCTTGATGGCTTGGTTAATCGACAAAATTGTCGCATTTGGGGTTCAGAAAATCCACGAGTGATTGTTGAGAAACAAATGCATCCACAACGTGTCACTGTTTGGTGCGGATTTTGGGCTGGAGGCATCATTAGACCATTCTTCTTCGAAAATGTGGCTGCTCAGGCAATAACAAAAGAGTACGTATGTGCCAGCAAAGCCATGGAGGCCATTTACCCGATATGCTATTCCATACATAACCCTATACTGTATACTTTATGAATCAATAAAAAATTTACAATTTTTAATTATAAACCTGTTTTCTATCAAAATTACTTCTTGCGTGAATTTTGGGACACCCTTTAGTAACCATCACATTCCAGTAACAACCTATATATATAAAAGGCTAAGTGTCCGTTCGTCCCACTGGTAGCTATGACGTGCGCTGACCACCAGGGGGCAGATTCTTAATGCAGGAGCTGCCGTGACATGCACTGGCCATTTAAAAATAAGCGGCACCACAGACCTGGCGCCCACAAACCAACACTCGACTTCTCCCAAGTAGGACACAGGCCCTACCCCCACCCTGGAGCAACAACCCACCAAATCGCAGCTTATGCTGCTAAGACCCCATGACGCAAAATGTGGACCACAGCCCAGCCCAGAAACGGTTGCTGTGGGCACTTGGTAATGACATCACATGGCAACGCCCCGCTTCCTCTCCCTAGCAACTAGCCTCCTTGGAGTTTCTTCAGCCCAGGAACCTGACTTGCTTTATAGCTAAGTGCAAACATTTTACACGTTAACCAAATGTTCATGAAGCGTTTTCACGTGTCTCATCTCATTTGATCCTCACAGAAGTCCTGGAGTAGATGGATAGGAGACTCAGTAGAATCTTATTTTCTTTTCATTAGCCGGAAAACGGAGATTTAGAAAGTTTAGAAACTTGACCCAACTGAAAAGAAGTAAGAAATGCTGGAACTTAAAAATGACTTCAGGTTTTCTCACTGCGCAGAATATAGTCAAACACTGCTGCAGTTAAATATTTTACCATTTGTTCTCCCTGCGTGATCTACAATAATAATCTACTTCATGTTGATTATTTACTGCTGTGCTGCTGACAATTACCTGAAAGAGAAGTTGAGGTGCTTCACTGGGCTGGAAGAAGTTTAGCTAAATCAAAAAGCAGGTCTAATTAAGCAAGTTTATCTATATATATAAAAGGCTAAGTTGACCCGTGCATGCGTGATACACATAAAGCTCTCACTGGCGCCAATGGCACGTGTGTGTTTCGATCTGTCATTGTCGATTGTAAATTTGGTTGACACTTCTATTATAGAGAAAGGGCAAATAGTGATATTAAAGTATTTCTTCTAATTAATTTCCTTTCCATGTGCACAAATTCGTTCACCGGGACACTAGTGTTATTTATAAATAGAGGTATGGTCAGTTATGCAAACTTCACTGTTTATATACTTTATGTAGCTTAGTCCTAGGACAAAGAAACCTACCAGTGTTTTTCAGATGGGCTGGCTATCAGAAGAATAAAGAAAGGGGAGAGTTCACTAAAGACCCATCACTTCTATTAAGTAAACACCTTCAGATACATATTCCACTGATTTTGGAGGACCAGTCATGACAGCCTGGTAGGTATAAGAATGTATTTGTGTAATATTACCTTTGGAATCAGGAAACCAAGATGAAGTTCCCAACCTTGTTATTAACTAGCTAAACAGCCTTGAGCAACATTCTTTAACCTGAAATACCTTTCTCAATCAGCAAAACGAGGCAGGATCAAATTGACCTCTAAAGTGGTTCCCACACATGCTTCTCTATCTTCATGCACCACAACAGATAGAAAACAGCAGGACTGCAAACCAAAGCAGTCAAAGGGCAACATTTTTAGGCTCCCTGGAAACTAGGACAAGAGGTGTCAGGGCAGCCTTTTGTACCATGCTGAAACAGCAGTGTGTGCCAACCTCAACACAACGTTCAATCTAATAGGCACTTGATCTCTTCCTAGATCTGAATACTCACTCCTCCATCACAATGGAAAGCTGAGTCTTTTCCCTCCTGCTCTTCAGAGTAACAAGTTGGGTTCAGTTTTCAGACCTCAAATGGGTGAAAATGAAAATTCCATGGAAGTACAAGGTAGACAGCACATATCGGTGATGCTGGAAATAAGTTATCCAGACTCTGTATTGCTCAGAAGCTCAAATATTTCAACATTTTTAGGAAAGGTAACTTGTAGTTTACTAGTATTTAACATGAAGTTTTCTGATTTACTTTTTCTTACAGTTTCTTATAAACTGAATTATAAATATGTTCTAGAGTTTTAAAGTAAAACCAAAGAGGGGAAAATCCAGATCATAAAGTCAAATACGATTTCATTTCATGGTTATCCTCTACCCAAATTAAATATCCAGGATCATAAATTATCAATAAAAATAATCTGTGAAATCAGACAAACAACCTTTTGATGCATGGGACCCAACCAACTGAGCCACACCAGCCAGGGCAAAAAGTTTCTTGGAAGCGCAGAGAACCCCAAACAAAAGGAATCCAAAGAGGACCACACCAAGACACATCATAATTAAAATGCCAAGAGCAAAAGACAAAGAGAGAATCTTAAAAGCAGCAAGAGAAAGAGACTCAATCACCTACAAGGGAATACCCATACGACTGTCAGCTGATTTCTCAACAGAAACTTTGCAGGCCAGAAGGGAATGGCAAGAAATATTCAAAGTGCTGAATACCAAGAACCTACAACCTAGAGTACTTTATCCAGCAAAGCTATCATTCAGAATTGAAGGTCAGATAAAGAGCTTCACAGATAAGGAAAAGCTAAAGGAGTTCATCACCACTAAACCAGTATTATACGAAATGCTGAAAGGTATCCTTTAAGAAGAGGAAGAAAAAGGTAAAGATACAAATTGTGAACAACAAACATGCATCTATCAACAAGTGAATCTAAGAATCAAGTGAATAAATAATCTGATGTACAGAATGAACTGGTGATTATAATGAATCAGGGACATAGAAAGGGAATGGACTGGGAAAGGGGAATGGGAGATGCGGGAAGAGACTGGACAAAAATCGTGCACCTATGGATGAGGACAGTGGGTGGGGAGTGAGGGCGGAGGGTGGGGCGGGAACTGGGAGGAGGGGAGTTATGGGGGGAAAAAAAAAGAGGAACAAATGTAATCTGAACAATAAAGATTTAATTAAAAAAAAAGTTTCTTGGGAGCAGAGTTCATTCAGAAAATTAATGGAAATTTAGAAAATTGGGAAAGACAGTTAAACACATTTTATTTTAAAAAGAGTCAAAGGACATAAAGCTGATGATTAAACAGTAAAAGGCACTGTTCTTCTGAAAATATAAACAAAGGAAGATAATGAAAAAGGAACAATAAAGGTATAATAAAAATAGGAAACAATGCATACAGCTGAATACACACACACACACACACACACACACTCACACACTAGAGGCCCGGTGCACTGGGAATGGGGTGCGGTCCCTCAGCCTGGCTTGTGCCCTCCCGCAGCCCTTGGGGGGTGTTTGAGGGGATCGGGCCAAAGCCAGCAGTCGGACATCCCTCTTGCAGTCCAGGACCCCTTGCTCCTTACCACCCACGTGCTCGCTGTTCCTTATCTCTGGCTGAGCGATGCTCACCCTGTGGTAGTGCACTGACCACCGGGGGGGCAGCCCTGTGTTGAGTGTCTGCTCCCTGGTGGTCAGTGTGCATCATAATGACTGGTCGTTCCGCCATAACAGTCGCTTAGACTTTTATTATCTATTAGAGGCCCAGTGCACGAAATTTGTGCACAGGGGCGGGGGGGGGGGGGGGCGACCCAAGGCCTCAGCCTGGCCTATACCCTGGCAATCCGGGACCCCTCGGGGGATGTCCAACTGCCAGTTTAGGCCCATAGGGATCGGGCCTAAACTGGCAATTGGACATCCCTCTCCCAATCCAGGACCGCTGGCTCCTAACTACTCGCCTGCCTGCCTGATCGCCCCTAACCACTCTACCTGCTTGCTTGATCTCCCCTAACTGCTCACCTGCCTGCCTGATCGCCCCTAACCGCCTCTGCCATGGCCCCCGCGGCTTTGTCCAGAAGGTTGTTCGGCTGTTTGGTCTAATTAGCATATTAATAAAAGCATAATATGCTAATTAGACCGGACGAGCTTCCGGAAGAAGCTGAGGCTGCAAGAGAAGCCCGGGTCCTGGGTGCCAGAGGGGAGCCGGTGCCGGCAGCGGGGAAGGAAGGCCTACTCTTGCACGAATTTAGTGCATCGGGCCCCTAGTATACATATTTGTATGTGTATATATATATATATATATATATATATATATATACGGCTAAAGGAACAACTTAGAAAAATATTAACTTGAAAAACTGAAGAGAAAAATAAATTTATAAATATAGAAATTTAAAAAAAGATAAATTAACACCTAAATCTTATATAGCATGAACATTTTTGCGTGTGTCTAATCAAGGAGACCGAGCAAGAGGATGTGCATGGGTCCAGTATATATGTGTCCCTGGAAAATATTCAAAGCTTTCACATTCCATGTCCAGTTGGTGTGGCTCAGCAGTTGAGCGTTGACCCAGGAACCAAGAGGTCACCAGTTCGATTCCAGGTCAGGGTACATGTCCGGGTTGCTGGCTCGATCTCCAGCAGGGGTGTGTACAGGAGGCAACTGATAGATAATGTTCCTCTCTTATCCAAAATTTCTCTCCCTCTAACCCTCTCCCTTCCCTTTTCTAAAAATCAGTAAAAACATATTTAAAAAAAACCATAGCTTTCACATTTCTAAGCAAAGGTTTCTAATAATGCTCAGAGCTACAATCATAGAAACTGTCCTTAGGATCACATGAGATTCATTTCTAAGTATATGCTAAAAATAGTCTTGATGAAAAAGTATAATGACTAAAGGAGCATCCACTGAGTCTATGACTTCTGAGATCTACATTTGAGACTACCACTTTCGTGCAAGTAGAAAACCAGTGAAGTAGAAGCTCTAGGAAATTGGGACCTTGATGGAGAACTAGGTTGAGTGGAAGCTAAAAAGTACAAGTTAACAAGTAAACAACAGTTCTAATTCTTGAGATTAAAAATATTTTCAAAGTTAGAATATAGACATATCAAGTAAACCTACCTCTAGTTAAATAAACACAAAGAAGCAAAGAGAAATGCTCCCTTTTAGAAAAAAAAAAAAGAAAGGTAGAATAATGCACAGCAAGTAAACGAACACTTCCCATTTGGTTTCTTACTATTAGACATGAACCCACTGGGTTCCCCGTTGTCCTTGAGGATCACCTACCATGTGGTAACGTTATGTTTGCACCATCAATGATTGCTTGTGCCAGTTCATGATCATTGCTCTCAAAAGCATGTGCTGCAGCCTTCAAGGCATCCCAAATCTCTTTACGGCCTTCAAAAGCTGGTGCAGTATCCCAAAATTCATCCCTTTTGCTGCGCAGCTGTCCATCTGTCATGGGATAATCGCTTTTCCATTTAGGTTTCTCCTTTTTCAAAGGCTGGTTGCGACCTAAAGCAACTGAGAATAAAAGGCTAACATCAAAACCAAAATTTACAAAAGATGTAAGTGTTAAAAATTATCTGGTCATTCCTCGTTGATTCTTTCATCAAATTATAGTTAAAAGTTTGCCTCTAGCTATTTCTTGCCTTCTGAAATTCCCCTAACCTAATTTAGAACTATAAGAGCAAATGGAGACATTAAATGGCTCGACCCAAAACTTCCAGTGACAAGTTAGGAGTTCTTTCCACTTGGTATGCCTTCTCCAAAGGATGATTTAAAAAAATTACCTAGAAAAATAGTATTAAGTGTTTCACGGGACAATAACGACAGGATTTAAAAAGAGTTTAGCTGGTTGACTCAGTGGATAAAGTGTTGGACTGCGGACTGGGGGGTCCCAGGTTCGATTCCGGTCAAGGGCATATGCCTCGGTTACAGGCTCGATCCCAAGTAGGGGGTGTGCAGGAGGCAGCCAATCCATGACTCTCTCTCATCACTGATGTTTCTATCTCTCTCTCCCTCTCCCTTCTTCTCTGAAATCAATGAGAATATATTTTAAAAAATGAAAAGAGTCAAAGGGTGCCACAAAAGAGAGATACCTTAAGATGTGAGATACTAGGGAAACCAAATGGCAACAATAGCTTGAATCTCAGGACCCCTGGACATATGAAGCCAGTAAGTAGGAACTACTGAGAAATGGCACAGAGGGAAAAGACTGATTTGTGGTGAGAGAAGAGCAGCTAAACTACCAGCTCCACAAAGGAACCCCCCTCTGAACTTCAGTCAAGAACTGTTGAGTGACTTGCTCTGAAATTCATAAGGAGCTAGTTTAGAAAGGGGTAACAAAAAGGGACAGAATCAGTGCTTCACTCTTTGGAGGAACTAGGATTGGAACAGGTGAGACGCACCAACCACAGGAGCAGAAGAACTACAAAATCCTACTGTAGTTTCCATCTAAGAGAAGAAAAAAGAGGACAAGAGTCCACTCCTGTTTTGCCCTAAGTGGCAGCATAGCTCCTGAGAGAATGTTACAGAGCAGAAATGCCAGAACAAGTCCCATGCCGCTTCTCTGCACCCAGATACTTACTTGGCCCATAATCACTGATCTCACACTGACATACAGAACCAATCTTCCCTTATGGTGCCATACATAAAAAATAGCTTGATAGATGGAAAAATAGGTAAAAAGACTGAAGCTCACTAAAGTGTTGGGTAAGAGTGGGTGGGACATAAATGACAGAGTAGGTGGGAAGGAGAGGGTGTACATCAAAATTCAATGTTCTATATTTAATTGTAGGAAGAACACTAATTTAAAAGAAATTACTGCCAAAATGGTTCTAAGGAATCCATGAAATTAACCACTCCCTCACTGGCCGAGGGCCAAATTAAATTTGGGCTATTCATTACAGAAAGAAAACAAAATTACTCCAGCCTGGCCAATCTCTACATCCTATACCAGACTGTTTCTGGATAACAGGACCAACTAATGCTGCAAGGCATATCTGGTCCAACACTTGAATTAAACCATGCTCTCTTTACCCCATCTAGCCTCTTTATTTCCAGGCGGCACACATCAGTTCTCATCCTCTCACCTTCATAGTAGTACACCATGCTACTGGCCAGCTGTTTTTCTCTTAAAACACTCAATACTTTGACTCACTGTACTTTTTGGCCCTCTAACCTGTCCTGGTGAAATGCAAACCAGTTGAGTTCTAAAAGGGTGTACATAGCAGAGAAGGAAAATTATTTAGCAGCAGGTTTAATTCAAATGTGAGAAACACAATCTACTAAGACTTTTCACTGCATCTTACAAAAAATACAGATAAATGCAGGTAGAACATTATTTGCCAAAAGGTGTCCCAAATGTGTTAGATAATCACAATTCACCTCCTGATTCCACCAAAAACGTAATATGAAAGGTAAATTTTATTTTCTGATAGATTAATCTTTAGGTGACTCAGAAATAGTTTGCAGAGTACACTGAACATTAGTTTACTGAGTAAGAAGTGGGAGACAGGATGTGATGGGTAGATACGTATTTTAATAAAGTTTCGGGTCTATCTGAGTAGTTCCACAGAATTTTCTAGCCTCAACTGTATTACATCTATTGGAGAGATAGCCTGGTATAAGTCTGTCATTGTGAGAATCACAAGGCAAAAGGCAAAAACAGCAGCAAAACCTACAGAACCTCAGTACTTATACCAAAGAAACTTGAAAGAGGCCCTCAAACAGAGGAACCCAACAGAAAAACTATCCCATTCTATATAATAAAAGGCTAATATGCAAATCAACCGAATGGCGGAACGACCGATCGCTATGATGCGCACTGACCATCAGGGGACAGATGCTCAATGCAGGAGCTGCCCCCTAGTGGTCAGTGCATTGCCACAGGGGGAGTGCCGCTCAGCCAGAAGCCAGGCTCACAGCTGGCGAGCACAGTGGCGGTGGTGGGAGTCTCTCCCATCTCCACGGCAGTGCTAAGGATGTCCGACTGACGGCTTAGGCCCACTCCCTGTCAGTCGGACATCCCTTGAAGGCTCCCAGACTGCGAGAAGGCACAGGCCGGGCTGAGAGACCCCCTGAGTGCAGGAATTTCGTGCACTGAGTCTCTAGTATCATAATAAAGGTAGAAAATACTTCGTAAAAGTAAAAGCACCCTCCTTACAAATATGAGGTAGCTTTATCGCACATCCCCGGATCTGTAAAACCGTAAGAACAAAGTTCCATAAAGAGAATACGATACATTATGCTGCATAAGGATAATGATCATTCCACATCCATTTTCAAATCTATATGCTGTCAAAAGTTCCAAAGTAATTACTTTGTGCAAAAGTAAAGAAAAGTAAGTTTGTGACATGAAGTAAGCTTGCCTTTATCTGTCTGGATCTTCATTATTTTTACCTATATAACAAACATATGTAATTCAGAATATCTGACTATCGAATGTCCATTACTAAAATACTTTAAAAACTCTGCAACATAAAATATTATTTTAGAGAAACCAATGAGCAGTGCAGAATTTTCACTGAGGCTAAAAGCTTCATGTTAAAGAAACTAAATATAGTTTATTACCTAACTTACCTTATGTTACATGAACTAACTGAAAAAAGAAAAACAACATTTAGCAAAAGCATTTAAACTATTGCTCCCATGAACCCTGGCCAGTGTGGCTAGTTGGTTGAGTGCTGTCCCATGCACTGAGAGCTTGTTACAAGCTCGATTCCCAGTAGGGGGTGTGGAGGAGGCAGCGTTATTGGTGCTTCTCTTTTTTCTTTTCTTTTCTTTTTTTTAAATATATTTTATTGATTTTTTACAGAGAGGAAGGGAGAGAGATAGAGAGTTAGAAACATCGATGAGAGAGAAACATCGACCAGCCACCTCCTGCACATCTCCCACTGGAGATGTGCCCGCAACCCAGGTACATGCCCTTGACTGGAATCGAACCTGGGACCCTTCAGTCCGCAGGCCAATGCTCTATCCACTGAGCCAAACCGGTTTCGGCAGTGGTTCTCTTTTTTCATCAATGTTTCTCTCTCTCCCCCTACTCTAAAATCAATAAAAACGTAATTAAAAAAGCCCGACAAATTATGCTCCTATTACACATAAATATGTAGGATTGTAATGAGAGCTCAAAAAGTTAGTTTTGTATAGCACATATGATTATTGATTGGTATATAATTAAACTACAAATAAGTATTGTAGTGACCCTTCCTAATCTTAAAAAGAATTGTTCTGGCCGAAACCGGTTTGGCTCAGTGGATAGAGCGTCGGCCTGCGGACTGAAGGGTCCCAGGTTCGATTCCGGTCAAGGGCATGTACCTGGGTTGCGGGCACATCACCAGTAGGAGATGTGCAGAAGGCAGCTGGTCGATGTTTCTCTCTCATCGATGTTTCTAACTCTCTATCTCTCTCCCTTCCTCTCTGTAAAAAATCAATAAAATATATTTAAAAAAAAAAGAATTGTTCTGATTGTCATGCACTTCCTGTGCATTTATCAGAGTACATTTTCTAAGAATTTGCTCACTGAATCTTGTGTTTTGATTTTAGCTGATATCACAAAAATGCATTTCTGCAAATAGTTGGATACAGAAATCAGCCTAAGGAGCTAAGTAGCTCTATTTGCACCAAGTAAACCATTTCTAATTATGTAAAAACAGATATAAAATATGTATACTCATTTAGATATTTTATGCTCTGAAACTTTCAGATGTACCTGCTTCACACAACTGACTCCTGACACTAAAACAGATATTCAATATTACTCATATAAATAGGACTAAGTACTATGCTCTGATTTAAAGACAGAAAACAGCTCTTATTCACCATATTTGTTTCTTAATCTTTAAATTGCAGGCAAGCAACCATACTTAGTTTTATTCCATGCATATAAGAAACGAAAGATTGGCCCTAGTATGTTTGGCTCATTTGGACAGAGTGTTGGCCTGCGGACTGAAGGGTCCCAGGTTTGATTCCCGTCAAGGGCACATGTCCAGGTTGCAGGCCCCCCAGTAGGAGACATGCAGGAGGCAGCCAATCAATGATTCTCTGTCATCATTGATGTTTCTCTCTCGCCCTTCCTTTCTGAAATCAATAAAAATATATTAAAAAAGAAATAAAAGATTAAAGAAACAAATTTTTTTGTTAATTCTCACCCGAGGATATTTTTTCCATTGAAAAAAAAAAAATTTTTTTTTGAGCGAGTGGAAGGGAGGAGAGACAGAAACACTGATATGAAAGAGATACATTGATTAGTGCCTCCCGCATGTGCCCTGATCAGGGACTGGTAATAGAGCCTGCAATTGAGGTTTGTGCCTGACTGGAATCCAACTCGACACCCTTCAGTCACTCGGGCTGACACTCTAACCATTGAGAAAACTGGCTAAGGCAGAAATCTAATTTTTTTAAAAAAATGTATTTTACTGATTTTAGAGAGGAAGGAAGAGGGAGACAGATAGAAACATCAATGAGGAGAGAGAATCATTGATTGGCTGCCTTCTGCACGCCCCCTACTGGGGATTGAGCCCACAACCCAGACATGTGCCCTTGGCCAGAATCGAACCTGGGACCCTTCAGTACACAGGCCGACGCTCTATCCATTGAGCTAAACCAGCTAGGGCAGAAATCTAATTTTTAAAAAGACATCTAAAAAAATACCTGTTTTTATCAAGACACATTGCCAAAAATTCATCTTCTCAGAAGCCTCTTAAATCACATTCATCTTCTCCTTATCTTTCCTTATAACCTTTCAACACTTCTTCCCACTCTGTGACAAAGAGCTCTAACATGGAATAAAAACAAGAAAGGCTTGCTTCTCAGATTTAAATAGCAACATAATCTTAAATATTTTTACTCCACAATTGAATGCACTTTGCATTAACTAATTTTGACACTTTTAATGATTAAAAACAATGATTTCCAAAGTGAAATGTGTTTACAGTCATTTTCCTGCTTTTGTCCCCGCTTTGAAAACCGGGATTTAATAATCGAATTCTTCAAATGAAGAAACAAGAAGTCATAATGCATAGATAAGGTAAATATCAAGATATAACTCAAGGCAAAATAACTTCAGCAGACTTGAAGACTGAAAGCATCACTTTCCCTAACACAATAGCTGACAGGGAGTAAAAAAAAAAAAAAAAAAAAAAAGAAGAAGAAAAGAAAAAGGGGTCACCGTCAAAGACAAAATGTTGTTTCAAATAATTCTGAAGACTGTAAAGCAGCAAGGACTAGGACTGAGATGATGCTCCCACTTTAGAAAATGAGTCTTAAAATCATGAAAAGGGAAATTTTCCTGCCACTCTAAGAGGTAAGAGTAGATCCTACAGACCATTCCATAGCAGATTGTGCTACCCTAAAAAGATACTTGTAAAATATTTTATTCTCATATAAATTCAGAATGCACTATTTATACATACATACATATAACATATATTCCCTTAATCTAAAGCAGCGAACTGCCAAAATAAAAATAGGATATGGAGATTAAAATGCCTAAAATAAAAGCATTAACATGCCAACAGTTATCATAACCACTAGAAGCCCGGTGCATGAAATTCGTGCATGGGTAGGGTCCCTAGGCCTGGCTGGTGATCAGGGCCAATCTATGGGGCAACGGGCGGGGTGATCAGAGCGCCCCTGCTGGCACCCGTCTTGGCTGGCCTGGGGCCTAGGGGCAGCTCCTGCATTGAGCATCTGCCCCCGTCATAGCAACCAGTTGTTCTGCCGTTCGATCAATTTGCATATTAGGCTTTTATTATATAGGATATCCTCTCTACTGTCTGAGAATTTAGAGGTGGAGGAAACCTTAGATGGTACAAGCCACCTTTACTATTTTACAGGAAGTAATGTAAGAGCTAACAAGGATAAAAGACTTGCTCAAGATCAAGAAGTGGCAAGACTATGACCCTATAACTAGATTCAAAGTCCAGGCCTCTCTTATCCTTATATTACTCCATGTCTTACCTGGGCTGAGAAATGTTTTCTTTCACATACCCAATCAATAACAAAGGTTCACTCAAAATAAAGCATGTGTTGAGTTTTTCTAGTAGCACTGATCCATCCTTCCTGGGCTTCATTATAACCAATGGAATATCTTTTTTTTTTTTTTTTAAATATATTGTATTGATTTTTTACAGAGAGGAAGGGAGAGAGAGATAGAGAGTTAGAAACATCGATGAGAGAGAAACATCGACCAGCTGCCTCCTGCACATCTCCTACTGGGGATGTGCCCGCAACCCAGGTACATGCCCTTGACCGGAATCGAACCTGGGACCTTTCAGTCCACAGGCCGACGCTCTATCCACTGAGCCAAACCGGTTTCGGAATCAATGGAATATCTGATTGGACAAAGAAAAAGCTAAGTGAGCAGCACCACCTCCCCAACCCCATCCAATCAACCCCCTAATTCATTTCTTTGGAGATAGCTGGCTCACCAATGAGGAATCCTATTATAAGGGAGGAGGTAATGCAGTTTTCTAGTCTGTCAGCTTCAATTTGTAAGTACTCAGCCTCTATAATAGATAAGGTACTAAAGATCACATGTATGCATATTTATCTAAGTACTAGGGGCCCCGTGCATGAAATTCATGCATGGGGGAGGGGGGTAGGGACCCTCAGCCCGACCTGCACCCTCTCCAATCTGGGAGCTCTCAGGGGATGTCCTACTGTCGGCTTAGGCCTGCTCCCCGTGGTTCTCTGCTCCCTGCGGACCTGCCTGCTTGATGCCACCACAGGCCCTGGTGGCTGCTCTCTGTGGGGGCCTGCTTGCCCTTCACCACCAGAGCCAGGGACAAGCAGGGCCCTGGTGTCTGTTCTCTGTAGGGGCCCTGCGGAGGACTGCTTGCCCCTCGCTGCCACGGCCAGGGGCAAGCAGGACCCTGCTGTCTGCACGCTCGCTGCAGGGGACGTTCCTGCCCCGCCCCCGGCTGCTTGTGCTTGCGCCAGCTCAGAGCACCTGGGTCCTGGGGATGTTCCCGCCCTGCCCACGGCCACTCGGCACCTACATGCGGGCCTACAGGCTCAGAGCCACACCTGCCCCCGGACGCAAGCTGCTTGGTGTCATTGCACACACAAGCACCCGGTCCCCGGCTGCTCAGCGCCTGTGCACGTAGGCCCAGAGTGGCCGGGGGTCCCTGAACGACCGACCACGGGCACTCCGGGCCTACAAGCTCAGAGCGGTCTGGGTCCCAAGGACGCCCGTCTCCAGGACCCAGGCTGCTTGGCACCGGCGTGCACAAGTGGCCACCCCGCCCCCAGGCGCTTGGCACCTGTGTATGCAAATCAACCCTCCATCTTTGTTGGGTTAATTTGCATACTCACTCCTGATTGGCTGTGGGGTGTCACAAAGATACAGTCAATTTGCATATTTCCCTTTTATTAGTGTAGATGTTACATATATCATTTTTAGTGCTATGATTTTATAATAGAAACTAGAGGCCCGGTGCATGAAATTCATGCATGGGAAGGGTCCCTAGGCTTGGCCGGCAATCAGGGCTGATCGGGGCCTTCCAGCTGCCGGTCCAGGCCTTCATTTGTTCCGTGCCGCCCCCTGGTGGTCAACGCACAACATAGCGAGCGATCTAACTTCCAGTTGGTCGAACTCCTGAGGGGACAATTTGCATATTAGGCTTTTATAGAAATGAGTACTTTACTATGCTTTGATCCTCAAGTTTATAAAAATTAAGCAATTAAAGCATAATCTATTTAAAATTTTATTTATTGATTTTATAGAGAAAGGGAGGGAGGGAAAGGGACAGAGGGAGGGAAGGAAGGGGGTGTGGGAGAGGGGGCAGTGGGGGAGGAGAAGAGAGAGAGAGAAACATCCATGTGAGAAAGTAACATTGACAGGTTGCCTCCTGAACCTAGGAGTTCAACACCCTACCTTTCAGTGTACAGGACAAAGCTCCAACCAACTAAGCCACACCGGCGAGGGCACATGAACCATTCTTACCCAAAATGTTTAACTTGAATCTATTTAAAATTGTAATTCTTCTTGTTTATAGAAAATACAAAGGATAAAGGGAAAAGTTTGAACATCTTCAGACATTACCAAATATACCCTGGAGGGCAAAACTGTCCCCAGTTGAGAACCACTAGTTTATAATAAATGAAACAAAACATGAACTTTGGAACCTGGTATGGAAAAAGTTATAAAAGATATTTTGGAACAACTGGATAAAACTTAGTAAGACTAGATTAGAGTGTCAATATGCCAAGGTTGCAGTTTGCCCACCATGGTTCTAGACCAGGGGTGGGCAAACTTTTTGACTCGAGGGCCACAATGGGTTCTTAAACTGGACCGGAGGGCCGGAACAAAAGCATGGATGGAGTGTTTGTGTGAACTAATATAAATTCAAAGTAAACATCATTACATAAACGGGTACGGTCTTTTTTTTTTTTTTTTTAGTTTTATTCATTTCAAACGGGCTGGATCTGGCCCGCGGGCCATAGTTTGCCCACGGCTGTTCTAGACTATTTGTTACTCTGTCCCTTTGATACTCTTGTCACATAGCACTATCTGAACCAATGCAAAAAAGCAATCTGACTTGCTTATACCTACAAGCCAATAATATTAAATGCAAAAAATTATCTGTAGGGTTTCCTGTGAGGGTAAGAATTTAATCAGAGAAGCCCCAAAGTCACTAGTTCATTTCCTAGTGAAGTCTTCAGGAAATATACATCATTAAGACCCCACACAAGTAAAATTCATTTTAAATAATTTTCACACATAAATATTTTTTTCTTTGACATCTAACTTCAACAGAAATTTCATGTCTGAACTACAATGGAAACTTCTACAAGTTCTATTGCAAACATGCAAAAATATGGTATTATAATACCTAATGTATACTCAGCAATATTTAACCTCTCAGCTCAATATATGGATGGAATATATTCAGAAACAAACTTGATTCTTGCTGACTGCAAGTCAAAGTAGCTGATGCAAGATGAATACATGCTGATTGTTCTTGGCCAACACACATACATTTTTAAGTACATACGCGTTGAGTCAAGTCTGAACCTATGGTCCTCGAACTACCAATGAATTATGAGGACCTTGCTGGTAGCCTAGTACTGCCCGATAAGCAGAAGCAGAAACCTGGGTAAGGATGGTGAGGGGTGACGGGAGAATCAGGTGCAGTGGTCCACCAAATGAAGATAAACCATTCAGGTGGTCTGCAGTAAGGAAAAATGAGAGAATCACTAAATCAGCAAATTGATCACCATGCCCAATTAACATGATCATGCTGCTTACCAAAACCAACCTACTGCTTTCTTGCAATGAGAGAAGAATATGTTTTGGTCAAAAGCCACAAGAGAGATAACTAATCATTAAATTAACATAAAGGCAAAAGTTCCTTATTGATTAACATTCAATAATAATTCTCATTAGGAGACTCACCTGAGTACAGTACTACTCACAATGTGCTGCCAAAGTTTTGCATTTACAGTAAGAGAATAGGATTTTAAAATAAAATCTATTAAAATTTCTCCAGCCCTAACCGGTTTGGCTCAGTGGATAGAGCGTCAGCCTGTGGACTCAAGGGTCCCAGGTTCGATTCCGGTCAAGGGCATGTACCTTGGTTGCGGGCACATACCCAGTGGGGAGTGTGCAGGAGGCAGGTGATCGATGTTTCTCTCTATCCCTCTCCCTTCCTCTCTGTAAAGAATCAATAAAATATATTTCAAAAAAATTTCTCCGTAAGAGGTGTTATAGACTAAAGCTATAAAAAAATCAGAGGAATGAAGACTCCTAACATTTCTCAAGGCTTAATGC